TGTGAGAGGAATAGAGACTGTGCTTATACTGTGTGAGAGGAATAGAGACTGTGCTTATACCGTGTGAGAGGATCAGAGACTGTGCTTATACTGTGTGAGAGGAATAGAGACTGTGCTTATACTGTGTGAGAGGATCAGAGACTGTGCTTATACTGTGTGAGAGGAATAGAGACTGTGCTTATACAGTGTGAGAGGATCAGAGACTGTGCTTATACTGTGTGAGAGGAATAGAGACAGTGCTTATACTGTGTGAGAGGATAAGAGACTGTGCTTATACTGTGTGAGAGGAACAGAGACTGTGCTTATACTGTGTGAGAGGAATAGAGACAGTGCTTATACTGTGTGAGAGGAATAGAGACTGTGCATATACTGTGTGAGAGGATAAGAGACTGTGCTTATACTGTGTGAGAGGAAAAGAGACTGTGCTTATACTGTGTGAGAGGAATAGAGACTGTGCTTATACTGTGTGAGAGGATAAGAGACTGTGCTTATACTGTGTGAGAGGATCAGAGACTGTGCTTATACTGTGTGAGAGGAATAGGGCTATTAGCACTTATACTGTGTGGGAAGGGATCAGAGACTGTGCTTATACTGCGTGAGAGGAATAGAGACTGTGCTTATACTGAGGAGGAATGAGAGACAGTGCTTATACTGTGTGAGAGGTATAGGGCACAGTAAGCATACTGTGGCAGAGGAATAGGAGACTGTGTATACTGTGTAGAGAGGATCAGAGACTGTGCTTATACTGTGTGAGAGGAATAGGGCAACATACTGTGTGAGAGGATCAGAGACTGTGCTTATACTGTGTAGGAGGAATAGGGAGCACAGTATAACTTGCTACTATGTGAGGAAGGAATAGAGACTGTGCTTATACTGTGTGAGAGGATCAGAGACTGTGCTTATACTGTGTGAGAGGATCAGAGACTGTGCTTATACTGTGTGAGAGGAATAGAGACAGTGATTATACTGTGTGTGAGGATCAGAGACTGTGCTTATACTGTGTGAGAGGATCAGAGACTGTGCTTATATTGTGTGAGAGGATCAGAGACTGTGCTTATACTGTGTGAGAGGATCAGAGACTGTGCTTATACTGTGTGAGAGGAATAGAGACTGTGCTTATACTGTGTGAGAGGATCAGAGACAGTGCTTATACTGTGTGAGAGGATCAGAGACTGTGCTTATACTGTGTGAGAGGAATAGAGACAGTGATTATACTGTGTGAGAGGATCAGAGACTGTGCTTAAACCGTGTGAGAGGATCAGAGACTGTGCTTATACTGTGTGAGAGGAATAGAGACTGTGCTTATACTGTGTGAGAGGATAAGAGACTGTGCTTATACTGTGTGAGAGGATCAGAGACAGTGCTTATACTGTGTGAGAGGAATAGAGACTGTGCTTATACCGTGTGAGAGGATCAGAGACTGTGCTTATACTGTGTGAGAGGATCAGAGACAGTGCTTATACTGTGTGAGAGGAACAGAGACAGTGCTTATACTGTGTGAGAGGAACAGAGACAGTGCTTATACTGTGTGAGAGGATCAGAGACTGTGCTTATACTGTGTGAGAGGAATAGAGACTGTGCTTATACTGTGTGAGAGGAATAGAGACTGTGCTTATACTGTGTGAGAGGATCAGAGACAGTGCTTATACTGTGTGAGAGGATCAGAGACAGTGCTTATACTGTGTGAGAGGAATAGAGACTGTGCTTATACTGTGTGAGAGGATCAGAGACTGTGCTCATACTGTGTGAGAGGAATAGAGACTGTGCTTATACTGTGTGAGAGGATCAGAGACTGTGCTTATACTGTGTGAGAGGAATAGGAGATCAGCGCTTATACCGTGTGAGAGTAATAGAGACAGTGATTATACTGTGTGAGAGGACTGAGACTGTGCTTATACTGTGTGAGAGGATCAGAGACTGTGCTTATACTGTGTGAGAGGAACAGAGACAGTGCTTATACTGTGTGAGAGGAACAGAGACTGTGCTTATACTGGGTGAGAGGATCAGAGACTGTGCTTATACTGTGTGAGAGGAATAGAGACTGTGCTTATACTGTGTGAGAGGATCAGAGACTGTGCTTATACTGTGTGAGAGGAATAGAGACTGTGCTTATACTGTTTGTGAAGATCAGAGACTGTGTGAGAGGATCAGAGACTGCCGAGAGAGGATCAGAGACTGTGCTTATACTCGTGAGGAACAGAGACAGTGCTTATACTCGTGTGAGAGGATCAGAGGATCGTGCTTATACTGTGTGAGAGGAATAGAGATCAGCTTATACTGTGCGGAGAGGATTAGAGACTGTGCTTATACTGTGTGAGAGGAATAGAGACAGTGCTTATACTGTGTGAGAGGATCAGAGACTGTGCTTATACTGTGTGACAGGATCAGAGACTGTGCTTATACTGTGTGAGAGGATCAGAGACTGTGCTTATACTGTGTGAGAGGATCAGAGACTGTGCTTATACTGTGTGAGAGGAATAGAGACTGCTTATACTGTGTGAGAGGATCAGAGACTGTGCTTATACTGTGTGACAGGATCAGAGACTGTGCTTATACTGTGTGAGAGGATCAGAGACTGTGCTTATACTGTGTGAGAGGAATAGAGACTGTGCTTATACTGTGTGAGAGGAACAGAGACTGTGCTTATACTGTGTGAGAGGAACAGAGACAGTGCTTATACTGTGTGAGAGGAACAGAGACAGTGCTTATACTGTGTGAGAGGATCAGAGACTGTGCTTATACTGTGTGAGAGGAATAGAGACTGTGCTTATACTGTGTGAGAGGAACAGAGACTGTGCTTATACTGTGTGAGAGGAATAGAGACTGTGCTTATACTGTGTGAGAGGAATAGAGACTGTGCTTATACTGTGTGAGAGGAATAGAGACAGTGCTTATACTGTGTGAGAGGAACAGAGACTGTGCTTATACTGTGTGAGAGGATCAGAGACTGTGCTTATACTGTGTGAGAGGAATAGAGACTGTGCTTATACTGTGTGAGAGGAATAGAGACTGTGCTTATACCGTGTGAGAGGAATAGAGACTGTGCTTATACTGTGTGAGAGGATCAGAGACTGTGCTTATACTGTGTGAGAGGATCAGAGACAGTGCTTATACTGTGTGAGAGGAACAGAGACTGTGCTTATACCGTGTGAGAGGAATAGAGACTGTGCTTATACCGTGTGAGAGGAATAGAGACTGTGCTTATACTGTGTGAGAGGATCAGAGACTGTGCTTATACTGTGTGAGAGGAATAGAGACTGTGCTTATACTGTGTGAGAGGATCAGAGACTGTGCTTATACTGTGTGAGAGGAACAGAGACTGTGCTTATACTGTGTGAGAGGAACAGAGACTGTGCTTATACTGTGTGAGAGGAACAGAGACTGTGCTTATACTGTGTGAGAGGAATAGAGACTGTGCTTATACTGTGTGAGAGGATCAGAGACTGTGCTTATACTGTGTGAGAGGATCAGAGACAGTGCTTAAACTGTGTGAGAGGAATAGAGACTGTGCTTATACTGTGTGAGAGGATCAGAGACTGTGCTTATACTGTGTGAGAGGATCAGAGACAGTGCTTATACTGTGTGAGAGGAATAGAGACTGTGCTTATACTGTGTGAGAGGATCAGAGACTGTGCTTATACTGTGTGAGAGGAACAGAGACTGTGCTTATACTGTGTGAGAGGATCAGAGACTGTGCTTATACTGTGTGAGAGGAATAGAGACTGTGCTTATACTGTGTGAGAGGATCAGAGACTGTGCTTATACTGTGTGAGAGGATCAGAGACAGTGCTTATACTGTGTGAGAGGAACAGAGACAGTGCTTATACTGTGTGAGAGGAACAGAGACAGTGCTTATACTGTGTGAGAGGATCAGAGACTGTGCTTATACTGTGTGAGAGGAATAGAGACTGTGCTTATACTGTGTGAGAGGATCAGAGACTGTGCTTATACTGTGTGAGAGGATCAGAGACTGTGCTTATACTGTGTGAGAGGAATAGAGACAGTGCTTATACTGTGTGAGAGGATCAGAGACTGTGCTTATACTATGTGAGAGGATCAGAGACTGTGCTTATACTGTGTGAGAGGAATAGAGACTGTGTTTATACTGTGTGAGAGGATCAGAGACTGTGCTTATACTGTGTGAGAGGAATAGAGACTGTGCTTATACTGTGTGAGAGGATCAGAGACTGTGCTTATACTGCGTGAGTGAAATAGAGACTGCTTCTACTGTGTGAGAGGATCAGAGACTGTGCTTATACTGTGTGAGAGGAATAGAGACAGTGCTTATACTGTGTGAGAGGATCAGAGACTGTGCTTATACTGTGTGAGAGGAATAGAGACTGTGTTTATACTGTGTGAGAGGATCAGAGACTGTGCTTATACTGCGTGAGAGGAATAGAGACTGTGCTTCTACTGTGTGAGAGGATCAGAGACTGTGCTTATACTGTGTGAGAGGAATAGAGACAGTGCTTATACTGTGTGAGAGGATCAGAGACAGTGCTTATACTGTGTGAGAGGAATAGAGACTGTGCTTATACTGTGTGAGAGGATCAGAGACTGTGCTTATACTGAGTGAAATAGAGACTGTGCTTATACTGCGTGAGAGGAATAGAGACTGTGCTTCTACTGTGTGAGAGGATCAGAGACTGTGCTTATACTGTGTGAGAGGATCAGAGACTGTGCTTATACTGTGTGAGAGGATCAGAGACTGTGCTTATACTGTGTGAGAGGAACAGAGACAGTGCTTATACTGTGTGAGAGGAATAGAGACTGTGCTTATACTGTGTGAGAGGATCAGAGACTGTGCTTATACTGTGTGAGAGGATCAGAGACAGTGCTTATACTGTGTGATAGGAATAGAGACTGTGCTTATACTGTGTGAGAGGATCAGAGACTGTGCTTATACTGTGTGAGAGGAATAGAGACTGTGCTTATACTGTGTGAGAGGAATAGAGACTGTGCTTATCCTTTGTGAGAGGAATAGAGACAGTGCTTATACAGTGTGAGAGGATCAGAGACTGTGCTTATACTGTGTGAGAGGATCAGAGACTGTGCTTATACTGTGTGAGAGGAATAGAGACTGTGTGAGAGGATCAGAGACTGTGCTTATACTGTGTGAGATGATCAGAGACAGTGCTTATACTGTGTGAGAGGAATAGAGACTGTGCTTATACTGTGTGAGAGGATCAGAGACTGTGCTTATACTGTGTGAGAGGATCAGAGACTGTGCTTATACTGTGTGAGGATCAGAGACTGTGCTTATACTGTGTGAGAGGATCAGAGACTGTGCTTATACTGTGTGAGAGGATCAGAGACTGTGCTTATACTGTGTGAGAGGAATAGAGACTGTGTGAAAGAATTAGAGACAGTGCTTATACTGTGTGAGAGGAATAGGGACTGTGCTTATACTGTGTGAGAGGAATAGAGACTGTGCTTATACTGTGTGAGAGGATCAGAGACTGTGCTTATACTGTGTGAGAGGATCAGAGACAGTGCTTATACTGTGTGAGAGGATCAGAGACAGTGCTTATACTGTGTGAGAGGAATAGAGACTGTGCTTATACTGTGTGAGAGGAAAAGAGACTGTGCTTATACTGTGTGAGAAATAGAGACTGTGCTTATACTGTGTGAGAGGATCAGAGACTGTGCTTATACTGTGTGAGAGGATCAGAGACTGTGCTTATACTGTGTGAGAGGATCAGAGACTGTGCTTATACTGTGTGAGAGGAATAGAGACAGTGCTTATACTGTGTGAGAGGAATAGAGACAGTGCTTATACTGTGTGAGAGGATCAGAGACTGTGCTTATACTGTGTGAGAGGAATAGAGACTGTGCTTATACTGTGTGAGAGGAATAGAGACTGTGCTTATACTGTGTGAGAGGAATAGAGACTGTGCTTATACTGTGTGAGAGGATCAGAGACTGTGCTTATACCGTGTGAGAGGAATAGAGACTGTGCTTATACCGTGTGAGAGGAATAGAGACTGTGCTTATACCGTGTGAGAGGAATAGAGACTGTGCTTATACCGTATGAGAGGAATAGAGACGGTGCTTATACTGTGTGAGAGGAATAGAGACTGTGCTTATACTGTGTGAGAGGATCAGAGACTGTGCTTATACTGTGAGAGAGGAATAGAGACTGTGCTTATACTGTGTGAGAGGAATAGAGACTGTGCTTATACTGTGTGAGAGGATCAGAGACTGTGCTTATACTGTGTGACAGGATCAGAGACTGTGCTTATACTGTGTGAGAGGATCAGAGACTGTACTTATACTGTGTGAGAGGAACAGAGACTGTGCTTATACTGTGTGAGAGGAACAGAGACTGTGCTTATACTGTGTGAGAGGAATAGAGACTGTGCTTATACTGTGTGAGAGGATCAGAGACAGTGCTTATACTGTGTGAGAGGATCTGAGACTGTGCTTATACTGTGTGAGAGGATCAGAGACTGTGCTTATACTGTGTGAGAGGATCAGAGACTGTGCTTATACTGTGTGAGAGGAACAGAGACAGTACTTATACTGTGTGAGAGGATCAGAGACAGTGCTTATACTGTGTGAGAGGATCAGAGACTGTGCTTATACTGTGTGAGAGGAATAGAGACAGTGCTTATACTGTGTGAGAGGAATAGAGACTGTGCTTATACTGTGTGAGAGGATCAGAGACTGTGCTTATACTGTGTGAGAGGAACAGAGACTGTGCTTATACTGTGTGAGAGGAATAGAGACTGTGCTTATACTGTGTGAGAGGATCAGAGACTGTGCTTATACTGTGTGAGAGGAACAGAGACTGTGCTTATACTGTGAGAGAGGATAAGAGACTGTGCTTATACTGTGTGAGAGGAATAGAGACTGTGCTTATACTGTGTGAGAGGATAAGAGACTGTGCTTATACTGTGTGAGAGGAACAGAGACTGTGCTTATACTGTGTGAGAGGAATAGAGACAGTGCTTATACTGTGTGAGAGGAATAGAGACTGTGCTTATACTGTGTGAGAGGATAAGAGACTGTGCTTATACTGTGTGAGAGGATCAGAGACTGTGCTTATACTGTGTGAGAGGATCAGAGACTGTGCTTATACTGTGTGAGAGGAATAGAGACTGTGCTTATACCGTGTGAGAGGAATAGAGACTGTGCTTATACTGTGTGAGAGGATCAGAGACTGTGCTTATACCGTGTGAGAGGAATAGAGACTGTGCTTATACCGTGTGAGAGGAATAGAGACTGTGCTTATACCGTGTGAGAGGAATAGAGACTGTGCTTATACCGTGTGAGAGGAATAGAGACTGTGCTTATACTGTGTGAGAGGATCAGAGACTGTGCTTATACTGTGTGAGAGGATCAGAGACTGTGCTTATACTGTGTGAGAGGAATAGAGACTGTGCTTATACTGTGTGAGAGGATCAGAGACTGTGCTTATACTGTGTGAGAGGATCTGAGACTGTGCTTATACTGTGTGAGAGGAATAGAGACTGAAGCTATAATTGTGTGAGAGGAATAGAGACTGTGCTATACTGTGAGAGATCAGAGACTGTGCTTATACTGTGTGAGAGGAATAGAGACTGTGCATACTGTGTGAGTGAATAGAGACTGTGCTTATACTGTGTGAGAGGAACAGAGACTGTGCTTATACTGTGTGAGAGGAATAGAGACTGTGCTTATAGTGTGAGAGGATCAGAGACTGTGCTTATACTGTGTGAGAGGAATAGAGACTGTGCTTATACTGTGTGAGAGGAATAGAGACTGTGCTTATACTGTGTGAGAGGAATAGAGACTGTGCTTATACTGTTTGAGAGGATCGGAGACTGTGCATATACTGTGTGAGAGGATCAGAGACTGTGCTTATACTGTGTGAGAGGAACAGAGACTGTGCTTATACTGTGTGAGAGGATCGGAGACAGTGCTTATACTGTGTGAGAGGATCGGAGACTGTGCTTATACTGTGTGAGAGGAATAGAGACTGTGCTTATACAGTGTGAGAGGATCAGAGACTGTGCTTATACTGTGTGAGAGGAATAGAGACAGTGCTTATACTGTGTGAGAGGATAAGAGACTGTGCTTATACTGTGTGAGAGGAACAGAGACTGTGCTTATACTGTGTGAGAGGAATAGAGACAGTGCTTATACTGTGTGAGAGGAATAGAGACTGTGCATATACTGTGTGAGAGGAATAGAGACTGTGCTTATACTGTGTGAGAGGAACAGAGACTGTGCTTATACTGTGTGAGAGGAATAGAGACTGTGCTTATACTGTGTGAGAGGATCAGAGACTGTGCTTATACTGTGTGAGAGGATCAGAGACTGTGCTTATACTGTGTGAGAGGAATAGAGACTGCGCTTATACTGTGTGAGAGGATAAGAGACTGCGCTTATACTGTGTGAGAGGAACAGAGACTGCGCTTATACTGTGTGAGAGGAATAGAGACTGTGCTTATACTGTGTGAGAGGAATATAGACTGTGCTTATACTGTGTGAGAGGATAAGAGACTGTGCTTATACTGTGTGAGAGGAACAGAGACTGTGCTTATACTGTGTGAGAGGAATAGAGACTGTGCTTATACTGTGTGAGAGGAATAGAGACTGTGCTTATACTGTGTGAGAGGATCAGAGACTGTGCTTATACTGTGTGAGAGGAATAGAGACAGTGCTTATACTGTGTGAGAGGAATAGAGACAGTGCTTATACTGTGTGAGAGGAACAGAGACTGTGCTTATACTGTGTGAGAGGATCAGAGACTGTGCTTATACTGTGTGAGAGGATCAGAGACTGTGCTTATACTGTGTGAGAGGATCTGAGACTGTGCTTATACTGTGTGAGAGGAATAGAGACAGTGCTTATACTGTGTGAGAGGATCAGAGACTGTGCTTATACTGTGTGAGAGGATCAGAATCTGTGCTTATACTGTGTGAGAGGAATAGAGACTGTGCTTATACTGTGTGAGAGGATCAGAGACTGCTTATACTGTGTGAGAGGAATAGAGACTGTGCTTATACTGTGTGAGAGGATCAGAGACTGTGCTTATACTGTGTGAGAGGATCAGAGACAGTGCTTATACTGTGTGAGAGGATCAGAGACAGTGCTTATACTGTGTGAGAGGAATAGAGACTGTGCTTATACCGTGTGAGAGGATCAGAGACTGTGCTTATACTGTGTGAGAGGATCAGAGACAGTGCTTATACTGTGTGAGAGGAACAGAGACAGTGCTTATACTGTGTGAGAGGATCAGAGACTGTGCTTATACTGTGTGAGAGGAATAGAGACTGTGCTTATACTGTGTGAGAGGATCAGAGACTGTGCTTATACTGTGTGAGAGGAATAGAGACTGTGCTTATACTGTGTGAGAGGAACAGAGACAGTGCTTATACTGTGTGAGAGGAATAGACTTATACTGTGTGAGAGGATCAAGACTGTGCTTATACTGTGTGAGAGGATCAGAGACTGTGCTTATACTGTGTGAGAGGAATAGAGACTGTGCTTATACTGTGTGAGAGGAATAGAGACTGTGCTTATACTGTGTGAGAGGATAGAGACTGCTTATACTGTGTGAGAGGAATAGAGACTGTGCTTATACTGTGTGAGAGGAATAGAGACTGTGCTTATACTGTGTGAGAGGATCAGAGACTGTGCTTATACTGTGTGAGAGGATCAGAGACTGTGCTTATACTGTGTGAGAGGAATAGAGACTGTGCTTATACTGTGTGAGAGGAACAGAGACTGTGCTTATACTGTGTGAGAGGAATAGAGACTGTGCTTATACTGTGTGAGAGGAATAGAGACAGTGCTTATACTGTGTGAGAGGATCAGAGACTGTGCTTATACTGTGTGAGAGGATAAGAGACTGTGTGAGAGGATCAGAGACAGTGCTTATACTGTGTGAGAGTGAATAGAGACTGTGCTTATACTGTGTGAGAGGAATCAGAGACTGTGCTTATACTGTGTGAGAGGATCAGAGACTGTGCTTATACTGTGTGAGAGGATAGAGACTGTGCTTATACTGTGTGAGAGGATCAGAGACAGTGCTTATACTGTGTGAGAGGAATAGAGACTGTGCTTATACGTGTGAGAGGATAGAGACTGTGCTTATACTGTGTGAGAGGAGCAGAGACTGTGCTTATACTGTGTGAGAGGAACAGAGACTGTGCTTATACTGTGTGAGAGGAATAGAGACAGTGCTTATACTGTGTGAGAGGATCAGAGACTGTGCTTATACTGTGTGAGAGGAATATAGACTGT